CCTCCCCCAGTGCAGGGAGCCGACCCCTGCCCTGCTCCTGCTACTCCCTTGGTGAAGGACCCTTATCATCCTCAGTGTTCCTCTTATGATGAAATGAGCTTTTCTGGATCTTTTGCTCTCCCCCAATCCCCATGATGACAGGTTTGCTGTGTCCATCTGTGCCTCATCTCCAGGTGTGGCTCTTGCAAGTCTCCCAGCAGTTGAATCGTGGTGTGTGTTTCCAGATGACTCCCCGGAGCTGCTGTTCCTCTTCTGAGGTTGGTCCAGGGTGGCCCCAGGAGGTCCTGCCTCTCCCACCTCTTTGTGGGAGTTTTCTCCACATGATTCTCTGACCACGTGGACCTGGAGCTGATGGCCCAAGCCCTGGGCCAGCCATGGTGCACAGGCTCCCACACCTGAGTTTCCTCCTTGTCTTGGGAGATCAACCAGGGCCTTCCCCCAGAGCCATTGGTGCTTCTCCTTCGCTCCTGTGACATGGAAATTTCTGGGGCTCACCAGTTCGATCAGTTGTCCCAACAAGCCTGGTTCAAACAATCAACTTGCAGCGTTGGTCAGAGGTCCAGGTGGCAGGGGGTGTCCTGACCCACCTCTGAGCCCCGCTGGGAGCTCTTGTGATGGTGCTGAGTGGTTGTCCACCAGCTGGAGTTCAGTCCCCTCCCTGAGTCCTTCTGGTGTGTTGTGAGCTGGGGTTTTGGGGGGAGAAGCTGCCCAGGAGTGATAGAGCGGGGAACCAGTCTGTCCTCTCACTGCAGGAGCTGGTGGTGCCTCCTGTGCTGCTGCCTTGGGGATGGGTCCCCCACAACTCAGAGCTGGGGAGACCCCCCTGCAGTGCTGGGGCAGCTCTGGAGTCTTCAGCACAGCAGAGACAGGGACCTGCTGCAGTGGGGGCAGAGGAGCCCCAGCAATGCCCCGAGGGGGGAACCCCTCTGCTGGGAGCCCAGCAGGAGAGAGTTGGGCTTGGGCAGCCTGCAGAGGAGAAGGATCCAGCTGGGGAGACCTGGGGGCCTTGAAAGGTCCCTTCCCACCCAAAGCATTCTGTGATTCGATGGTTCCATGGTCTTCCAGGCTCTCTGGACAAGCTGTTGCCACGGGACCATGTTGCAGGTAGCTGGGAGAAGCTGAGGCTCAGGTCTGGCCCTGGACAAACCCTGGGCAGATGCAGCCCCTGTGGTGGCTGCTGCTCACCCAAAAGCAGCTCCAGATGTCTCAGCACCAGGAGGAAAAGCTGATCCTGCCCGTGATGCTCACAGTGATGCCCCAGCCCTCACGAGTGGGCAGCAGGATCCTCATTTTACCTTTCTACCTGCTCCTGGGCAGAGCCAGCTCTGGGCTGGAAGCTCAACCAGCGTGAGGATGGTCCTGTACCCTGCTGGGGACTATTGATCTGTGACACTCCTGTATAGGGTTCCATCACCTGATGGCTGCGGTGCCAAATGCTGAAGGCAAATCTTGGTGCTGCCCATGGGGAAGGATCTCACAGCCCAGTCCATCCTCAGGTCTGCAGCTGGTCCTGGGTCAGCTCAGACCTTGCATGGGGACCTTCAGGGAGACTGGGGTGGAGAGCATCTTGATCTTTCTGTATCCGCAGAGGGTCCCCAGAGCACAACTGGCCTGACTTTGGTGGCAGAAACATAATCCCAGACTTCCAGCATGATGGGGCTGGAAGGGACCTCTGGAGATCATCTCATTTAGCTCCCCTGCTCTAACAGATCACCCACAGCAGGGTGCCCAAGGTCACAGCCAGGTGGGTTTGGAATCTCTCCAGAGCAGGAGACTCCACAGCCTCTCTGGGCAGCCTGCTCCAGGCTCGGCCACCCTCACACCAAAGAAGTTTCTCCTCCTGCTCAGGTGGAACCTCCTGGGTTCCAGCTGGTGCCCATTGCCCCTTGTCCTGTCCTGTCAGCCTGGAGCAGAGGAGGCTCAGGGGAGACCTTCTGGCTCTCCACAGTTCCCTGACAGGAGGCTGGAGCCAGGTGGGGGTTGGTCTCTTCTCCCAGGGGACAAAACACAGGGGAAGCGGAGGGGGACTCCAGGCGGAGAGGAGAGGGCCTCAAGTTTCCCCAGGGGAGGTTGAGGTTGGCCCTGAGGAAGAAGTTCTGCCCTTGAGGGTTGTGCAGGGCTGTGCCAGGCTGCTCAGGGCAGTGGTGGAGTCCCCATCCCTGGAGGGGTTTCCGAGCCGTGGAGATGTGGTGCTGAGGGACATGGGTCAGTGGGGACCTGGCAGTGCTGGGGAATGGTTGGACACCATGATCTCCAAGGTCTTTTCCAGCGAGATCGCTTCTGTGTTTCTCTGGTTCAGGAGCAAAACCACCAGCTCTGGAGCATCAGCGCTGCTGTTTCTCCACATCTTTGTTCCTTGACCTCAGGGCCGGGCCGTGTTTGCCCCTGAGCTATTAAAAGCTGTGAGCAGCGTGTTCCGCTCACCGCGCTCGTCTTCCTGGGAGAAAACACTTGAAGGTTAAATATAAACTGGCCACTGCTCGGGGAGCTGAGAACACAACCATGGAAGGAACAGCGTGCTTTGGAGCAGCCCCAAGGAGAGATTTGGGCTGTGTCTGGTGGGATGGCAGAGACTGGCCGTGCCCCGGATCAGGAGGTGGAGGGTTCACCCCGAGCCCATTTTCTGGTGTCAGTTGTTCTCATGGCCTGGAGAAGCAGAAGAACCCCAAAGCAAGGCCCGTGGGTGGGTATGGAGCCCAGTTCTGGGTGCCTCTGGCCTCCTTGGACATTTCCAGTGCTGGGGGTTTGCAGCAGAGAGGGGCAGTGCCCAGGGCTGAAGGACGCTGGGTTTCTGCTGGGGTCTGATCCTGTCAGGGAGACCAGACACTTCTGAGCTCTGCTCCTCTGGCACATCTCCTTGTAGCCTCTAGAGAGGCACGGTCATGGCAAGTTTTGGATG